TTATGTTGTAAACCTAGGATCGAACTGAACTGTTTTATGCAAGAAGCATAGATTCACCAAATCATTTCATAATGTACACAAAGGACTAATATACAGCCAAAACTCCTAAGAGAGCCCCCCCCCAAAAAAAAAATATATATATACATATATATTTTTTTTTATCTCACGAAAGCAGTTCAACTTGAAATCAATCTGCCTGAATTTCAATCTGGCCTGTGTCATGTACAACATTAGGGGATGGCTTCATGTTTCATCAAAACAGAACACTTGCTCACAGTTCTCGTCTGGGGAGTGATTTGTTGCAGAAACCCAATGTTCTGAGGAGGGAGCAACCATCTTTAAACCCTTATATTAACCCTACTGAGCACCTGTGGCATGAATTGGAGTGTGCAATTCAGCGTTGAACCAACCTCCTAATAATCTGGACCAACTCTGCCAAGCTCTGTCGGAAGAATGGGACAATACCCCACAAAACAGAACTGTTACCCTTGGTGAAAGCAAGCCGCCTACAGGAGATAATTGCAGTACACGGAAGACACGCACGCTATTAGACAAAAAACCTTCAACAAGCAATTCCTAATGCTTTTTGTGTGTAAATTTGGTGACATTTGGTGGTGTATTTTCAATTAAATCAACATTTCTTTACTTCTTTGGAAATCACAGTGAAACATTTGATTTAAGGGGTACAGTGTTATGAATGTGAATAAAGGCTATTAAATAGGGATATCGTCACCTCTGTTAGTAATGATATCTGAAACAAAAACACTATTCATAGCAATCTACACTTGATGTGATAATTTGTAAATAAAATTGCTTTTGACAACCTTTTTAACCAATGTTGTGAAGCGTGCTATACGTGGTACATGAGACACCTTAAAGAAAAAGTACTAAGAAGCGAATGGTCTGGAGTCATCACTTCAACAGCTTGAATACAAATTTCATGTCTGTTGTGTTTTCCATTTCAGTGTTTATATATGTTTCATTTTGGAAAATGGTAAAATGTGTAAGAGTTGTGTTTCAATATGACATAAATTGTCTTAAAAATATACTAAAAATTAAAAACTTAAAAATTCTTACCATTTGATCAGAATAAGCGCCTTTGTTCTGTTGATGTCCTTTGTTTATGCCTGTATTCATATTTACTTTTACAAGGCGGTCGGGTTCTGCACTTTCCTGAACCAGATAACACCATCTCTTGGTCACATCTACAAGCGAGTACCCCCGATCTGGATGCTTTTACAGCCTGCACATGGATCAAAAGCACCCGCACCACAAGCGGCCCCATTCTATCCTACGGCTCAGAGAGTTGTCGCCAGTGTATTGAACTTGGATACAGCCCCGTTGGTCACGGCTACTCGGTTGTTTTGAAAGGCGATAATGTATTGGGTGGGTCCCCTCGTGCTGAAGCACCCCTACCGGCCGATGGGAACTGGCACCACTGGTGTGTGGTGTGGAGTGGTGCCAAGAGAGAGGTTAATATCTACAGGGATGGTCTCCACACGCTGAGCCAACTTGTTAAAGTTTCACACATACCCGGAGGTAATAAGAAAATGGTGTATGGACAGCACGGAAAGATAAATATTTGCTATAGTTATTTGGCTTCCGAGCATATCAATATGAACAACAAGAACAAAGTATGTAAACAGCTTCAATCCAGACAATTTACTAATTTCTACAGTAAAAATATTCAAATGATTTGCTATTGATATTCATGTTAAACAGGTTAATTCCATTTCAAAATTTTTGTTATATCAAGTTATCTTATATAATCCATAAACTGGTATTAATATGTGTAATTTGCCTTTCTCTAATTTAGGACGCATCTAGACGGGAGTTCTTAACTCTAACGAATTCAGAGTATAATCCTTTGTTAATATGTAACTTTAACAAAGCACTGTTGTTATTATTATAATAATATAAATAATTGGTCAAATAATTCAAATAAGCTTTATATTTATAATGACAAAATTCCAGGTGGCAATTGGGTGGTTGGACACACCCATTACGAGGCAACGCCTTATGCAAATCCTAGGCATCCCTCATTTGTTGGATTCGTCGGCGGCGTCAACGTCTGGGACCATGATAAAGTCGACATCCCCGGCCTAGCAATTTGTGGAAATACTAACGAGGGCAGTCTCATATCCTGGAATACTGTCACCAAGAATAACTTCAAGGTTGCGACATATAAAGAGAGCTGTTAAAATGCTACCACTTCAATTATTTTCTGTAATTTGAAATTGGTCAGCATCTTATATTGATCGCCATTAAAGCATAAACACAACTTCCTTTTGCTTTGAAATTTTACTTTTAGATTGGAGAGAACTATATCTTTCAGTATAGACATACCAAGTTAATAAAGAATTGCTCAAAGGTAATATATGTATTCGACGTGTGCATGGGATCCTTTGTTTATTTTGTTACTACTAGAATTTTATGGAAAACATCCGGCCTGATTCTTACTTATACGTGATCTATTCACACCTACAGTTGTCCTTACGTGATATGATTTGGAACATGAATATCACAAAATAAGGGCTAATAAAGAAACATAATGAGAGTGTATGTGAAGTCAAGTCACATCTTGCAACTCGTCAAGTCACATCTTAAAGGGATAATAACTCTTCGTATGAGATCTATATTTCACAATAAAAACACTGTTTTACTACAAAAACAGCAGTTATAGCTATTATGCAGATATCTGAATAGATGGCTATACTCTGTTATAATCTCTTAAGTGATTATAACTTTAAACCAAAATTTTTAGAAAAAAATCAGGAACTAACTTTGAATGTAGAAATGGATTCGTTAATCATTGGTAAGTATAGGAAAATTGTCGTTTACTCCGACAATTTATTTTTTTGGCCAAAACGAACAGTTGTTATCCCTTTAATCATTTAAAACTTATATCTTTCCGTCAATAACAGATTGCAGTGTAAAGAAATGTTAAAAGCTGATATGCAACCAGCTTCATATATGTTTATAAATAAAGGTTTGACTACATATGTTGCAGTGAAAACTCAGCCGTGTCTCTGAAGGTGAGCCGGTATGATTCAAATATTATTTTCCCTATTGTATTGTATTTCCCCTTCTTTCCCTATTTCTGATGTTATGTCATCCAGGTGCCTAAAAATTGCGGCATGCTTTTTTCACTTCTGTTTTTAGTCAACTGTCCAATTGTTTTCAAAATGACAAAGCGGTCCTTACATCTATTTGAATACCGTCATCAAAAGTTGACCAATTTTCTCATTAAAGTTTTTCCTTTCTCACTATTAAAAATTGTTACTTTTTTTTATTGATTTAAAGTATTGATATCGTAAAAAATTTTTTAAAAATATTTTGATTTTGGAAAACTGTAGGGTTTAAGTAACAGAACCGCATGGGGTGCCATGGTGAATAATACAACGAAAAGGAAAATGTTGCTCTTACGGTATTTAATTTCATTGCACGTATATGTATATAAGTAATTGACATACGTGAAACGAGGAAAAAAAGCAACTTGGCAAATTTAAGCCTTTTAAACGAATCTGTCTTCCTTAATAAGAGAGATCATATTGAAGCCCTTCCCTGGCCATTTCACATAATACAAAGTTGTACTTTGCCGGCGGTAAAGATCCTAACCTTACATGTACGTGCACGTATTACCTTGATGTTTACCAGTAGCTATGATGCTTTAAAACCTTTTAAAAATATTCTTTGTTTGCAATATAGCAATCAAATTTTAATTATAGACTCTTAATGCTTGAGTTGTGTCATTTAGGTGTGTTGATAACAGGTTTGACATTTTAGTGAAGGTTATTTGTCTTTTTCTTGGTTTTAAAAGTGAAAATGAGGTCGAGTCCGGTAATTGTTTTCAATTATTAAATTAAAAAATGGAATAAAACATTAAAGCCAAATACAGGAGCAATAATTCATGAATAGGGGAAGTTGTTGTGGAAAAATTCGTTTTAGCGGGAAGGTATCGTGTCGATTACCTACCCCTGTATGTGCTTTTAAACTTTACCTCAAAGCATGAACCCAGAAATTGGCTTCCATTAACTTTTCTATCTCTTTGGTGACTTAAAATCAACTTTTGCTTTGCACACTTGTTGAAAGAAGGTTTTGAGAATTTCTACTATAGAGGTACAATTACCTTGACCAATTGCCTTGACTTGTATGGTCTTCAGAAAAAAGTCTTCAAGCAGCTCTTGGAAAACATCGTCAGGGAACAAAGAAAACAAAATTAAAATTGTTGAACCCACAGTGCTAACCGTTAAAGCGAACCATAAATTTACCAGTACTATAAAGAGATATTAGCCGATAAAGAATATCTATTCCATTTTAAAAGCGGTGCTTACTAAGTTCATTTATAGTATTTCAACTTTATATGCTTTCACAACTAACACAATATTTGTCTTTGTCCACGGTTGTTATTTTAACCATATGTTACATACAACTGGACTGTTTAAAATAACCTTATTGGTTACTATACAATTTACAAAATTCACTGTGATGTCTTTTCTCTCTCTATTTACCTATTTATTGCTCGAAACGTAGTAATACAGTTTCAGATACTCGACTCAATGCTAATAAAAACGATGTGTATGTTTGTGTGCATTGGTTGGTAGGTTAGTATGACCTTACAAAATAAGACAATTTCACTTGTTTAAGCACTTCCTGTCGTGAATTGAAATGATATGTAAAAACAGTCCCGATGACGTTATTTAAGAACGTCCAAAATGCCCCCAAAATGATTTAAATGTTGTTTTTAGAGGTGTATTACGTGATCAATGTGTACTAAAATGTCCATTGCATTGCTATTCCAGTTTAAATATTATTGAACATGGAAGCAGGCGAACTACAATGAGACGTGCATAACAAATTAAAAAAGATTTTATACCCATGTCTCGTTTTGAAACATTTAACTGGTAGGCCCGCATAGTTTGACATCAGATCATCAGAGAAACTAGCATATGTTTATAGTCTGCCTGCAGCATTCCTACTCTGTTTTCGTGAGAGACACCATGTTTGGACATTTTCTGGTTGCAGCGTTGGCTTTGACCTGTCTTATTGGTAGCGGATCAGCAGCCCCAGGGTCAGGTATTTAGCTAGATTTAAAATATATGTACGGGACCGGCCAACTGTATAATATGTTTACGGTACATTGTCAACAATACATGATAAAGCAGAATGCACATACATATACGCATCATAAAAAGTTTAGTCACTGGCTTAAGCATTTCGGTAAACTCTCCTTTTTCGCTTGAAGGATTCTGTTAGGTGGTAAGGATATTGTAGCCTTTCATTATCATCCAGATACCAAAAATTAAGTTTTTCCCGCATCTAATTATTCAGTAATGCATCTATCCTTGTGCTGATTAAATACAATAAAAACCGTCGGAAATACAAACTGTCGGCGTGCATATTACTCGTTGCAATGTATAAGCATAGGCAACTCAGAGCTTTAATTGTCAGTAAAAACCTTTTCTATTTTGAGGTGAGATAGCAATAGGTGTGGGGCATAACTTCATCCCTGAACAAAATTTTAACATTGGCAGAGTTGACCACGAGTGTTTGGGCTACAATCCTTTGCCGTCATGTTGATTTATATGATTTTGATATGGTATAATGAGCCCCTTATTACAGATTTTGATTAAACAAATGTAATATTTTGCTTTATTAACCATAAATCTGAACTAAGACTTCTAAAAAAGATGCTGGCAGGAGTTTGGAGTTCTAAATGATGTCATTATATCGGTGTTAAAACGGTGATCGTGGGTGCTCAGGTAAAGGAGAAGTTTGAGAAACCGATTTTTTTCAGATTTTGCCCATAAATCGCAATTATTATGTCATCAGTAAGATTACATATGTGTACATGTAAATTGATTTAGTCACTGAACACCGAAGATTTATCTATTATCGAAAATAATGTATGGGAGGCATTTAATTAGGAGTTATGGGCGAAGAGTGACAATATCCTTAAGAAACGGTTGGTCTCCATAGTGACTTTGATTCAGCAATGTGCATCCAAATTTGCAGACCGATGTGGCAGGAGTGCACGTCCTAGTAACGCAAGTCCGCCCAGACACTGTCCTGGGAATGCAAGTCCTAGGACATTCATTGCTAGGAATGGAAGTCCTAGGACATACGTTACTAGGATTCAATGTCCGTAGGACAAAGGCTCCCAAGTAATGTAAGTCCTACTTGTAGTAATGCACGCCCTAATGGGACGTGCGTTCCTGACATTTTAGTAACGCATGTCCTATATAGTTTACTCCAAGAAATGACATGAATAAATAGATATAGAGACATACTAGTTTTAAAGATATAATAAACGTTTGTTTTATTCTATTTATATGACATTTTATCTTTATATTTTACAATGTTTTCCGATAGGCAGTTTATATGCATCTTAATGAAAAAACAAAAACAATTAATTTTTATGTGTATTCTTCATCTAGTAAACGCAAATTTTGACGTGTTAACGCATATTTTTGGCGTACTCCTCCCTCAGTGCACAATATGTATGAGCCTGGTTTGCCCGATATTTTCTTAACAAAATAATTCACCATCCAAAGGCATCCCTTACTTTTACCCTATGAAGTATATGTACAGTATGTACAGTGTATATTATTTTATGTCCTTTTCTACTGGGGTGTATATCTTTTGTGTTTTGTGTCGAAATTCTTATTTTCTCTCCCTCCCCCCTTTTTCAAAAGCTTATTCCTAAGAGAAAAATCACTTTACACAAAACGCGGGATCTCCGTTCTTAGATTTATATTTCGGATTACACTCGCTGAAATTGAAAAATAACCTCAAACTCGATGGAAATTTGCTCTTGGAAAGTATAGGCTGAGATTTAAGCCAAATCATGACAGTTTGGAAATAGAAAATTGCAATATATGTATATAATGTTCTGTAATAACCCTTTGCTATTTTGGTGCTCTGACACTTAAAACACAAAACAAAAAAGTAATGAGCACGGTATTTCGAACACATATTAGACATTAAAAAAACCATTAAACATTTTGCTACTAGTGATAAATAGGGGTAAGAGGGGGTTATGGTCAAGTCAAAGATAGGTCTCGAACCCATAGATGCAACAGAACGATTGATGATATCTTACCTTGTGGTCTTGCAGGCTAACCACTACACAGACGAGCTGAAGTTGCAAACATATCATTTTTGTCTGATATATGGCTCACCAGAAGGATTCCATATACATTTATAGTTTTATCATTTAACAGTATTATTGCCTAAGGATAGGACTTTCAAATGGCCGGACTTTTATTACTGTCATAGGTGTAACAGGAATAAAAGTCCGACAGTAATACAAATCTAACCTACTCTAATTATAAGCCAGGAACCTAAGTCCCAGTAGGACTACTATTCCCAAGTAATGTTAGTCTTACGGACAACCATTACCAATGGTGGCCTTGGATTACTGATACACCGGTCATGTTTTCCATTTCAGTGTTTACTTGAAGTAATACTTTTCATTTTGGCAAGTGGTAAAATTAGTGAGGGATAAAAATTTTCTACGTTCGACAGGCTTTTGCGGTCTGGATGATGCCCACAGAATTCACAGTAATGTTTTACATGTTTAGCCATTGTAACAAAATCGTATATTTATCTCAAAGTAAATCAAGCCTGAAAATGATTGTATTCAAATTATAATAATATATACTTATCATTTGTTCACTGTAAGGGTCGTAACTGTCTTTGTTTTGTTGCAAACCTTTCCTTAAGCCAGTATTCATATTTACTTTTAGAAGGATCACGGGTTCTGCATTTCCCTGAGCCGGATAGCACCCTATCATGGTCACAACTACACGCGACTACTCCGGATCTGAACGCCTTCACAGCCTGCGCATGGATCAAAACCATCCGCACCACAAGCGGTCCCATTCTATCCTACGGCTCAGAGAGATGTCATAGGTGTATTGAACTTGGATACAACCCCGTTGGTTACGGCTACTCGGTTGTTTTGAAAGGCGATGACGTACTGAATGGGTCCCCTCGTGCTGAAGGACCCGTACCGGCCGATGGGAACTGGCACCACTGGTGTGTGGTGTGGAGTGGTGCCAAGAGAGAGATTAATATGTACAGGGATGGTCTTCACACGCTGAGTCGTCCTGTGAACGTTTCACTCATACCTGGAGGTAAGAGCATGGTTGTTTGAATGCTACATAAAGAATTCCTGTGTTAGTCCAGCAATTTGATGAAAAATCGTGCATTTTACCTACTTGGGCACAGTTGTGGAGAATGGAAATATAGGGAAAGGAAAAGGCCAATATTAATGGCCAAAGATGTCATTTAATGACTACATAAAAACAGCGTGCATGTAGTATCAACAACTGCTTCTTGGGCAAAATGGCCTCCAAAAGTAAAGAAGCAGTCCACCCGCTCAAGATATCCAGCAACATGGTGAAGTTATCTTTCACTTTAACTATAAGCGCGAAATTTGGCACAGTTGTAGAGGACTTTTTAAGCATTTTTAGTTATATGGGCATATCTGAAAATTCCAATGTGGTCGTCAAATACAATATGTCCACCCAAAAAACTCTTTCAAAGTTAACTTATCTACATGCATCATGATCATTTTTTATATTCTTTAATGGTTAGATAATACCCCTGTATGAATGTATTATTAAAAGCAGTTGCATACTGGAACCATTTCTTAGGCCGCATTCACAACTAAAGTTGATCCGTGGACTAACAGATCCACGGATCAAATATGACCAACCCACTTGAATGCTTACCGCGTAATCCTTGCAGGGAATCTATTCAGTTTATATCAAGGAGTTATGCGGCAAGTTTTCAAGTCGATCGACTATGATTGATAAGCAGATCAGTTAGTCGGCGGACCAATATGTTCTGAATGCTCCCATAGAAACTTGGACTACAGTTAACAAATATATAGCATGACTGATCGTCCAAGATTTCATATTTGTCTATATCCTCTCCATAACTACTTGATTTCAGGTGGCCAGTGGGTGGTTGGACACACATATAACGAGGCAACGCCTTATGCACATCCTAGGCATCCATCTTTTGTCGGATTCGTCGGCGGCGTCAACGTCTGGGACCGCGATAACGTCGACATCCCCGGCCTGGCAATATGTGCCAATACCAACGAAGGGAGTCTCATATCCTGGGATACTGTCACCAAAACCAACTTCAAGGTGGCAACATACAAGGAGTATTGTTAAAATGTTACCACTACTATTAGATTACTGCAATGTGAGATTGGGCAGTATGGATCACCATTAAAAAGCATTAACATTTCTTCCTTTTCCTTTGAAATTAACCTTTGAGATTGAAATTAACTGCATTTTTTAGAATCGACATAACAAGTTATTAAAGAATTGCTGAAAGTGACAATATGGATTCGACATGTATAAACCCCATTCACACGAGACACTTTCAATCGCGATTAGTGCCAAATCGCGATTCTATCGATGTAAAGCTTCTAGTGTGAACGCAGTCGAGACGCCAAATCGCGATTCAAATTAATCCTATTCGAGAGGTGGATTCTATCGATGTAAACTTAAATCGCGATATAAAACTTCCTAGTGAGAACGGGATCGATGTTAACACCGGAAGTTGAGGACTTAGGCGCGTGCACAGTTTCTATCGAAAGTACAATACAATACAATACAATAAATTTTATTTCATGTCGGGTATAAATTGAAACGAAACATTAGCTAAATACATCTATTCGCCGACTGGAAAGTGAAAGAAAACAAACTGTCCACGCAATTTCAAGTTTCTTCGCAGTCAGCAAAATGGCCACGAGGACTTACTGGCGTGAAAACTCAGTGGCAGCATAACTAAATATTTGGGCCGATGAGAGTATTAAACAGAAAATAACACCGTACACACCAAAAGCATGGTCTTGAAGGCAGCTACTGCGCATGATCAACAGGATATACCGTGACTCCCCTAGCGAGCGCAGTTGCAATTACCAGATCTAGCAAGGTAAATCGCGATTTCGTTTTTACATGTGTGAACGCAAAAAAGTGAATTTAGCTAAGCGCGTTAGAATCGCGATTCCCTTAATCTCGATTAACCATGTAGGTGTGAATGGGGCTTATGTGACCCTTTTTTAATTTTGTAATTATTGGAATTTTATAAAAACCATCCAGCCTGTTTCTAACTAATACGTGATCTATTCACACCTACAGTTGTTTTCCACATGACCTCATTACAAACATGAATATCACAGAATAAGGACTAAGAAAGAAACATAATGAAATGATGATGAGATAATGTATGTGAAGTTAAAATGTATATCTCATTTACCTCTTTTATTCCTTTGAATTAACCTCCATGACTGACTTGGAACTTGCCACATCACGTCTTTATCAATTAAAACTTAACTCTCTCGATCAATTACATGTTTACTCTTTCATCAACAACATTAAATCAATTTTAATGGCTGATGGCTGACTTGCATCCTGCTATATATATATATAAATACATAGATCTGAATATGTAAAAGCTTAATTCTAGGTACATTCTAAATCAGCATAATATTTTCCGTAAGTTAAATTCTATCTGATAATACAACATCTGTATGCCTTACAAAATAGCGGCGCGTTTTTTCACCGCGGTTTTTAGTCAACTATCCAAGTGTTATCATAACGACAAGGCAGTCCGTAGATCTATTTGAATATCGTCATCAGAAACTGATCCATCGGAATTTTTTCATAAAAGTTTTCCCTTTCTCACTATTAAATTGTTAATTTTTGTTGTTGATTTAAGATATTGTAACAAAACTTATGAAATATTTCGTGTTTTTAGAAAACATAACGGTTTTAGTAACAGAACCGCATGGGGTGATGAATAATACAACTTTTTTTACAATTTTATTTTTTATCTTAAAATGTTTAATTTCATTGCACTTATATGTAGATCAGAAATTGGCATATGTAACTGCAGCCAGTAATGTTAGTTAGTGATTGCGATACTGGATGCTCTCACAAGATTGCGACGGAAGTATGCATTTTTTGTTTGCGTTTGCTTTACTACGCGGGAAATAAGTCCTGCGCACAGGTAGCTTATTTTACTTACCTTTTTATGCTTTGTGATTGTGTTTCATTAAATTATTGTTGTTTTTTGGTGTTCATATGTTACATTTTGCAGTTAAACATATATATATTTTTTACATTGTTAAAACGCAGTCATTTTTGTTCTTCCGGTACTATTTTTTGTTGTAAGATGTCCGAAACCATGTGGTTTCATGAATAAGAGCGCTTCACGTTTAACAGATATTTCTTTAATGTCAAGGTAAATTACTCTCTCTTTTTTATTATATAACAATAGTTAAAGGCTAATAGTTTGAATTGCAAAGGTAAAACGATAATGGGCAAACTAGAAGTAGGTCTTATAACTTAAGTGTGTAAGCGAAAGCCCTCATTAGAGAACCTGTAGCACAAGTTAATGAGTATACTTAGATCATAACGCAACGAAAGGTAAAATAATAACGAACTCAGTCTAAGTACTTTATTTGTTTATTGCAGGATTACAGTAGAGGGTGAAGACATCAACGTTTTCACTGTTAATCTAATGGAGAATCATGACTTGTATTTAAGGAAGAATAAAGATATACAATTGCAATATGAGCCTCCGTTATAGCATACATGATACGAAAAGCCATTTTGGCCAATTTAGGCCTTTTAAACGCATCTGTCTTCTTTAAAAAGAGCGAATCATACTGAAACCCTTCACCACTCACGGCCTTCAACGCTGCATGGCATTGTAATCAGTTGCAGTGACTCAGATATATTTTGTTAAGTAGCATTACATAAAGAAGTAAAGCGACGCCAGCATACAAAAAGCAATGCGCTTTATATCCCAAGCCTCGCTTTGAAACACACAAAACAAACCGAATGGAAATAAATTAAATTCGCCTCAGATTATCAAGAGACGAGCATTTTTTAACAGTCATACTGCAGCATATTGGTATACTGTCTTTGGTTCTGTAAGGAACACTATCATGATTGGATATCCACTGCTTGCAGCGTTAGTTTGGATTTCTTGTATTGACAGTGGATTCTCAGCTCCAGGTAAATATGTGAATGTAATATGTATGGTATGAATGTAATTACTGCTTTCCCATAAGGGTACATTATGAAAAGGGGGTTGAACTCCCAAAACGAAAGTACGTTGAGTGCATTGATAACCCTGAAATTTTGTCTTTTCACACAAGTGGCCTTAATATATATAAATATAGATAGATGGTGTTCCATGGGCATTGTTTAAATCATACCTGTCTGAGCGTGAACAATCAGTATTGCCAATCGCGTCTCATGCTAATCACCATCAACACCACTAGCTTTTGGCGTACCACAAAGCTCTGTACTCGGCCCATCCTGTTCACACACAGATTTATTTTTACGGAAGGCCATCAATTTTGATACCATCTATCCAGACACATATAAGTCAGTTGAGTCAATGACTTAAGGCCAATTCACTATTTTTAATGAGGGTAAAAAACAGAAGTTAGTTCACTTTTTCTCTCGATTTTCTCAAGATGCCGAACAATCAAAGATCGGAAACAGCATGGTCACGGTAACAGATGAGGTTAAAAACCTAGGAGTCATTTTTATAACAGGTGCGATATGGCCGTGGACATCAGTATCCAGAGCCGTTTTCTATGGTCTTTAAAAATCTCCAAACTATCCCTATCCCATTACCATTGACAAATGTCAAATGGAGAGGCTTGCCCATGACTTCATAACTTTACATCTTGAGGACGGAAACAGTCTGCAGAATGGTCTTTTTTTTTGTTCCAAATTGAAAAACTACAATCTGTCCAAAATGCTGCAGCACGACTACTGACCAAATCCCTTCTCAGATCAAGCATTTCACCTATTCGAACCTATTCTTATTTGAACTACATTGGCTTCCAGTACGAAAGAGAATTGTTCTTTTAAGAAATACTACTGTTTGTTTTTAAATTCACCAGAATGCCCTTCATATTTTATTCTCTGCTACATCCAAGCTCAGCCAGTCCACCTTTACTCTTTGTTTTACCAGAATTGACAAAGAAATACAAAACCTACGGCCACAGGCCATTTTCAATTGCAGCACCCATTTTTTGGAAAGAACTACCCTCACGCATTCGGACAATAGATAGTGTTAAGGTTTTAAAAAATTACATGTAATTCTGATATTTTTCTTTGTGAACAGCATTGAGACGGAAGTGCAGTGCAGTTTTTAAGAAATAAATAAATGTTATTATTATTATTATTATAAAATAATATGTGAACCTAATATCTGCCTATATATCTTGTCTTTCTTCGACCCAAATGTACCCATGAAATATAGCACAGTGCTGAGCTTATTTATGACCCGATTAAGCCGATTTTCGTGTCCATCGAAATGCTTCTTTGAAAACAATGCAAAAATAAATGAAACAAACTTCTCCAACAAGATTACGAAATTAACCCCATGCATTTGCTTTATTGGATATAGCGTTTAACATCTTGCTGGTATTGTAGAAATATATGAGGGACAGAATATCTTTTGTATTTTTAGACCTCGTTCTTAGATATCATAATGAAAAATACACAAAAAGGTAGGAGTGTCGCAGACTGTTATCATTATTTTGGTTCCTGTTGCTGTTTGTTTGTATGTGCCTGTGTATGAAGGTTTATGTACACGTGGGTGAATATCCACCCTTCCTACTGACCAAATATGACAATTAAGGTCCCTCATATATAAGTGGTACGTACACCATGTAAAGGACTAGACACTGAGCAATAAGTTGAGTAAATTGTGGCTTTGAGATATATTTGAAATTGAGAGAATATGGGAAGTGTCACGAAGGAACAACTGATATTGCGTGGTAGGCCATAACAGAAGTGTTGTCATAAAAAGGTTGAAAAAAATGCTTTTAAAACAAGAACTTTGACATTTTAATCTTTTCGTCAATGCAGATGAAATCTTGTTATCTTTGTTGAAAATTAGGGTTGGCAATTAAAGTGGAGAATGTAGAAAAAAATCACGCGAGCAGGTGTGTTTTATTGTCATACAACGTTGTGCAGTGTGCATTAAAAAACAAAATGTGCATTAACCTTGATCTGAGATAACCACAGACAGATAATATCTTTAAAGGCGCAGACTAGAATATTTTGGTTAACTCTGCCTTTTTTGCCTGAGACATCCACAGTGTATGCTGATTTACTGCAGTCGTTCTGACTTCTTGTTATGACAGTGAGGCCTCATCTTCACTGAAGGAAATTGGGGTGTCATAGACTGCGTTCCCGTACTTAGATCGATATACCAGGTTCGATCCATCTCTAAGAGGTTTCTCGCTAAATTGATTTCAGCTTAAGAGGTTTAGATGTCTGGAAAGCCTACTGAAGCTGCTAAACGATATTTAATTATATGCTAGAAGCTTCACAGGCGTGACAGACAGCCAAGCCCCTTACGTTGATTGCAATTTAGCGAGAATCCCCTTGGAGATAGATAGATCCACAGTAAGTACAATAAGGTCTGGGAATAGTCATGAACAGATTGTTTAAAAAGGTTCCATGAAGGCGCTACTTGAATTTTACTAGAATGTATTGCTTGTCTTCTGAGGGGGAGTTGATGTGAAAGCTGCAACCGATTTAAGTTTGTGGCACATATGATCTTTGTGACCATGTGTTACCAGTCGGCAATCGATTGCTACAATCCTGCGACCCTTTTTTTTTTTTTTTTTCAAGTGGTTACTGACAGGTTGTTTACCACTCGGCAAACGATGTGACTTGAAACTTAAAAGTGGTATTTAAGATGTTGCAGATACTGTAACCTTGTTGCAACTGGTTTGCGACTGTTTGCCGAGCAAAATGTGTCAAAGCTTCTTATTCAGCTCGCAATGTGATTGCAAGCTACCGCCATATTATGTTGTTGCTAGAAGTTTGTCCTAGTCTTTACTATCTTCGTTTTGGTGTTGTGGCAGTGATCTTGTCCTTCATGTCAGCGTTCATTTTTAAATTTCAGTTGATGATCGAGTTCTGCACTTTCCCGAGCCAGGTAGCACCCTATCATGGTCACTATTTCACACAAGTACCCCTGATTTAAACGCCTTCACAGCCTGCGTATGGGTCAAAACCATCCGCACCACAAGCGGCCCCATTCTATCCTACGGCTCAGAGAGTTGTCGCCAGTGTATTGAACTTGGATACAGCCCCGTTGGTCACGGCTACTCGGTTGTTTTGAAAGGCGATAATGTACTGAATAGATCCTCTCGTGCCGAAGCGCCCCTACCGGCCGATGGGAACTGGCACCACTGGTGTGTGGTGTGGAGTGGTGCCAAGAAAGAGGTTAATGTCTACAGGGATGGTCTCCACGCGCTGAGTCAACATGTTAAAGTTTCACGTATACCTGGAGGTAAAATGACATAATAATTTGGATGATATGGAAATTTATTTCTCCTTGCTGTAGTCTCTTATCTTTCCAGCATATCAATATGAGCAAACAGGGCACAGCATGTTTAAAAACTTTACTGTAAACATCGTATACACTTCTTCACTGAACTGTCAAACGATTCACGGGGTTGCTTATGGTGATCATATCATAGTATTCACTTGTAACATAACGACCAGAGTTTTTTTCTTCAAGATTTTTATATCAATCAATTGATATGACCCATGATCTGGCATAGTGGCAAAATGTTTTAATATTTTTTACTTTAATTTAGGACCCATCAACGGATCGAGTCCTTCGATCTGACGAATGCAGTATGTAATATTCTGTGAATATGTAATTTTTACATAACATTATTGTTTCAACTTGTTATGAATAATTAAGTCTTGGTTTTAAATTATGTTTCATTCTATTACACGATTTCAGGTGGTAAATGGGTTGTTGGACACACTCAGTGTGAGGCAAGTCCTGATACTCTTCCTAAACATCCATCATTTGTGGGATTCGTCGGCGGCGTCAACGTCTGGAACCATGATAAAGTCGACATCCCCGGCCTGGCAATATGTGCCAATACTAACGAGGGAAGTCTCATATCCTGGGATACTGTCACCAAGACCAACTACAAGGTCGCCACATATGAGGAACATTGTTAAAATGTTACCACTACATTTACTTTTCTGTTATATGCCATTGGTCTATATCCTTTATGGATCGCCATTAAAGTATCAACACCTCTTCCTTTTGCTTTGGGATTGTACTTTTAGATTGGAATGAACAATATTTTTCAGAAACAAAATACCAAGTTAATAAAGATTTGCCGAAAGCAACCATATGGATTCGATGTGAATGTGGTACCCTAGTTAATTTTGTAATCATTGGAATTTTATAAAAACCATCCGGGCTGTTTCTAACGAATACGTGATCTATTCACACCTACTGTTGTTTTCCACATGACCTCATTACAAAAAGACTTAGAAAAAAACATAATGAGAGCGTATGTGAATTTAAAATGCATATCTCTCGGTCAGCTATTTTATTCCTTTGAATTAACCTCCATGACTGACTTGCAACTCACCACATCACATCCTAATCAATTAAAACTTAACTCTTTCCATCAATTACAAAATGCAATGTAAATTAACTTTTAATGGCCGACACGCAACCAGCATCATATACATATACTTAGATCTGAATATGTTAAAGGTAAATGCTTGATAAAACCTTAATTAGCATACTATTTTCCATCAGTTTAATTATATCAGAATATATACTTAAATTACATTCAAGTCACCATGGTTATGAATTAAGAGCTTGTCCACGAGAGAACCAGCCCAGGGTGGCAAGGTGGGGGTCAGCGGATTTCAACCAAATTTGTTTTATGGAGGCATATTAGGAAGTTATTCATGAGTTAGGAAGGAATCCCAAAAATATCCTTTCTTCAGAGAATTATAGCCTATTATAAGTCATGGCTTGTGTAGACTCTTTGAGACTCCATTTTTACCTTGGAAAAATAATGATATATTTTGTGTAAATTAAACAAAAATGGAGAAAACTAAAAAATGTTCGACCTTACAAACATTGAAAACAATCATTTGGCTTGCCACAGATATATGTAGAATTCAGATAAGACCCTGCTTGGGCGAGCCACACCCATTTATAACACCCCTCCCCCCAAAGTCCAATTTTGATACTACCATCTTTAATTGCATGTATCTCCATCTTCACAGGGTTTACAGCTATAAAATTGCATGAATATTTTAGGCAGATATGGATCACTCCAAATCAAGTTTCAAAAGTTACTGCTGTATTAAAACAGGTACTGAAAAATACCCCCAAAGTTGTCCATTTTTAACGCAAAAAATCGTGGTGGATTCATTCAAGTCTATGTAGACAATGGGTTTGATTAATTTATTAAACCATTTTGCTCTACAATGATGTTACTAAATTAATAGGGCTGGTGAGCATGGAAAGTGGATGTGTACTAATGAATATCAGGTCAGTGGGTCGTAGGTCAAGGTCACTGGGCTTCATATTTGTAAATTGCCATATATGGACTTTTTAATTTGTATGGACAAAAAGTTTAAAGGAAATAAATCTTAGATTCTGTTACTTTGGATAGGCACTGGCAATTAACGTGAGAGTTTACATGATAATTTTAATATATATATTTTTTAATATCATCAATTTGGTGAATACAAATTAAAATCTTAGTTAAGTAGCGATTTCTTTTTGGTGCAATAATTATCATATAGAGATCAGGATATGCCATAGTATTTATGAGAGCAAAGCCAGAACAAATCTTTTTTAATTATCAAGATTTTTTTTTAATCATCCACACCACTTTTTGGTGACTATTTGAGCATACAGTAACTAAAAAATTATTCAATTTAGTTTATTGTTGTCTCAGATGAATAATTACAAATAATAAAAAAAAATCACAAAATTATAATACAGCAATACATGCAAAGCAGTGCAACATTAGTTGTGATCATTACAAACTATATCATAATGTAGCAAAACAAGATAATTTTCNCTCCCATCAATTACAGAATGCAATGTTAAGAAATTTTAATGGCTGACATGCAACCAGCATTATATAGAGATACATAGATCTGAATATGTCAAAGGTAAATGCTACATAAAGTCTAAATTAACATACTTCTTTCCACCAGTTTAATTATATATCCCTTAAATAATATTCAAGTCACCATGATTATGAATTAAGGATTCACCACATATGTTTAACTCTGCTGTGACTGTGAAGCTGAGCCGGTCTGATTCAAATATCGTTTTGTCCTGTTTTATTGTATTTACCCTTCTTCCCCTATTTCTGATATTACGGCATCCAGGTGCCTTACAAAATAGCAGCGCGTTTTTATTCAACTGCCCAATTGTTATCATAACGAGCAGCAGTCCGTAGATCTATTTGAATATCGTCACCAAAAATTGACTGATCAAAATTTTCTTATTAAATCTTTCCCTTTCTCACTATTAAAAATTGTTAATTTTTGTTGTTGATTTAAATTATTGATATTGTAAAAAAAATTTAAGAAATATTTCGTGTTTTTAGAAAACAGTAAGGTTTTAGTAACAGAACCTCATGGGGTGATGAATAATATAACGAAAAGGAAAATTTTGCCTTTAGAGTAGGTAACTTCCTTGCACTTATATGTACCCGGTAGATAAGTAATTGACATACACACAACGAGAAAAAACATTTTGGCCAATTTAGACCTTTGTAAATAACACCTTATAAAACGATTCACAAGGAATTAGGTCTCGGATCATTGGAGAAAAGACATTTATTTAGAGCCAAAGACGGCAGTATTTTGTTCTACTCTACATGTTTATCTTGGTTGATATTGGTGTTGCAACATGGAACATTTGTTCTTGAAGCGTTAATGCTGACCTATTGTATTGGTAGTCGATTTTTGTTTACAAGAAATTAAATAAAAGTAACTTTCCCAGCAAGATTATGATATGAACCCGCAAGTATTTGCTTTATTGGTTTATTGGATGTAGCGTTTAACATATTGCTGGTATTGTAGAATTATATAGCGAGAAAAGATCTTTTGTATCTTTAGGCATCGTTCTTAGGTATCATAATGCAAAACGCACAAAAAAGCTAGGTGGTCGGTCGGAAACACTTTGGCTCCGTTCACATGACAAGTCTATTTTCTAAAAATCTATTTTCTATTTGCGGTATCTTGTGATCACGGTCTGTGCCCTGAATACCCCGCGGCGTAATTACTGGCAGCGCGGGCCAGTTACTTCCAAAGCTGTAATTAATTCTCGGCTGCGCTTGGAGTGATCACAAGATACCGCGAATAGAAAATAGATTTTGAGAAAATAGATTTTTCATGTAAACGGAGTCTTTATTTCATTTGCTTTTTTTTTATCTAACTCCCATGGCTGATGTGCAACTTCCCACATCACATCTTAATAAATAAAAAATAATAATTATCTTCATTCATTACAGATTGCCATGTAAATACAAATACATAGGTCTGAATATGTTAAAGTTTAATGCTAGATAAATTCTAAATTAACATACTATTATATCTGAATGCATCCTTAAATCTGATTCAAATCACCTTGACTGTTAATTAAGGGTTCACTGTTAATTAAGGGTTTTGTCCTGTTGTATTGTATTTCCTCTTCTTCCCCTATTTCTGATATTATGGCACCCAGGTGCCTCACTAGATTGCGGCATCCCTCGGTTTTTAATCAGCTATCCAAGTGTCTGTTTGAATATCGTCCCTGTACACTGACCAATCAGAATTTTCTCGTTTAACTTCCCTCTTTCTCACTATTAAAAATATCAATTTTTTGTCGTTGATTTATAATATTTATATAGTAAAAAATAAACATTTCGAGTTTTTAGAAAACAGTTAGTAGGATATAAATAGCAGAACAAGGGGTAGTGAATAAAAAACGATAAGCGCACTTTTGCTCTAAAAGTGTTTGATTTCATAGCACTAATACGTAACTAAGTAATTAACATAAAAGAGAGGAGAAAAAAGCTTTATGGCCAATTTATTTTGGCAATTAGGTTTTTTAACAAATCTATCTATCATAAAAATGAAGTTATATTTAAGCCCTTTACAACTCACGGCTTTTTGCGTTGCATAGCATTGTAATCAGTTGCAGTAACTCAGATATATTTTGTTAGATAGCTTTACATAAAGAAGTAAAGCGCCGCCCGCATACAAAACGCAGTGTGCTTTTTATCCCAAGCCTCGTTTTGAAAGACACAAAACGAACCAAATGGAAATAAATTAAATTCGCCTCAGATCATCAGAGAAACAAGCATTTGTTAACACTGCAGCATATTGGTATACTGTCTCTGTTTCTGTTAGGGACACTATCATGTTTGGATATCCACTGCTTGCAGCGTTAGTCTGGATTTCTTGTATTGACAATGGAGTCTTAACTGAAGGTAAATATGTGAATGCAATATGTATGGTATAAGTGTAATTGCTGCTTTCCCATTAGGGTACGTTATTACAAGGGGGTTGAACTCCATTGTACGTTGAGTGCATTGATAACCCTGAAATTGTGTCTTTTTCACACAAGTTTCCTCAATATAGATATATAGATATATAAATAGATGGTATTACATCGGTATTGTTCAAATGATACGTGTCTGAGCATGAACAATCAGTCTCGCTAGGCACATATTTTAATATCACCATCAACAACACTGGCCTTTGGCGTACCACAAGGCTCTGAGATTTACGTCAGGCCACCAGATGTGATAACATCTATCCAGAAATGCATAAGTCAGTTGAGTCTATGGCTTAACGCCAATTCACTATTTTTTTAATGATGGCAAAACAGAAGTCAGTTCACTTTTTCTCTCGTTTTTCTCAAGATGCCGAACTATTAAAAGTCGGAAACAGCATGGTCACGGTAAAAGATAAGGTTAAAAACCTAAGAGTATTTTTATAACAGGTGCGATATGGCCGTCGACATCAGTAAAATATCCAGAGCCGTTTCCTATGGTCTTTAAAAATTTCCAAACTATCCCATACCCTAGACAATTGTCAAATAGAGAGGCTTGCCCATACCTTCATAACATCAATATCTTGACTACGGAAACAGTCTACAGTATGGTCTTTCTCTGTTCCAAGTTCCAAATACTAAGATATTAAAAGGAGCTGCCCTGAGCGGCCCCATAATATGTAGGTATTTTTTTCCAAAAAAAAAAAGTAAATTTATGTTTTTCAATTATTTCATGTGTTTTAGCTGATTTTAAAGGGAGATGTTCATATTGGTTAGAATAACAGGTGTATACATAATATTTGAATTTCAATATAGCTGAATGTACAGTGGCCAGCATTAAATGAAT